CTTCTAATATTATTAACATACAATACCTACAAAAATATATATTAATTAGTGACATAATATTCTTTAACCAAAAACTCAAAGAATCATGGTTATTTGAGTGTACGCACTGTGATTTTGCCTTGTATATGTACGTTTTGAGAGTTACATGCATATGGATAATCTTTTTAATACTACCAAAACCCAAACACCCACAAATGATATTTTTACGTGCATTAAGTATTACAATTTTTTTAAAAACTATGTTTTCATCTTGAAATCCGACATACTCGAAATTTATAAATCTTCACCATTTTATCTTTCAGAAACAAACAAAAAAGTGATATCAAAGGCCTCCGTTTAAAAAATATAACTTGAAATTAACATATTACTTCAATTCTCATATCTTAGAATTACATATGACTTCAAATTGTTAAATTAGTGTCAATGAAACACTTTGGAGGATTAAATTTTCAAAATAAAACTTGAGGGTATCAAAGTTTAAAAGAGGTTGAAGCTTTGGGGCATTAAAATGCAAATTAGCCTAAAATCAACGGCATACACAACAATTTAAATCCCATCAAACACAGGACAATCTTCACCAACATTGAACCTCTTCAAAGCCATCATCTGATCATGTTGGGACTCGGGAGTGATCGACCGGAGGAAGGAGACATAATCGTCGGCATGGAAACGACAGAGATCACGGTCACGTGCCGGGTTGGGCATGAAGACCTGCATAATCACATAAGGGTGGAAACAAATCAAATAATTAATTAATTGTTCCTCTAACTATTATATTTCATTCGGTAGTCTATTTAACAGTAAGCAAATATGACTCGCCTTATTATACAGATGATGTTAGTCCCAAATCTATTTCTTTAGCCAAGCAAAGTTTCAACTTTGAATTTAAATTTTACTTACAGAAATAGCAAAAATGAAAGTATTTCTTTAATCAGATAACATCACTCGTCTTTGACTATAATAGCTGCTAGATGTGAGATCAACATACTATTGAACTAAGGTTTAAATGTTCTCTGTGAACTCAAACTCACATATAATTCTTGCTTGAAACTACTATTGGCTAATAGCTCAGCTTGCCTTAGTTTCTCAAACTCACATATAATTCTTGCTTGAAACTACTATTGGCTAATAGCTCAGCTTGCCTTAGTTTCTTCCGCCCATTTCCATATCTAGAAAAAAAAATTCTTTTAAACTCCTCTTAAACTGGAAATTCTTTAAGCTAAAGCAGTTCTACTATCTAGAAAAAAAGTTAACTTGATTAACTGGATCACCAAATTCTTTCAAACTCCTCTTAAACTAAAAGCACTCTGTAACAATATATTTCTAGCATTCTTGGATGCAATTATGAAACATTAGCCTATATGAAAGATTTTTGGAATTAGCCTTGCTGGCTTTGGTCTATGTTTAGTAATTTTGAACCAAGTATTCATAGGTAACCTACTTTCTCTCAAATTAATTGAAATAAAGAACTATTCCTAAAATATTTCTCTGTATAGTTGTCAGAAAAAAACTATATAAACTCGATTGACAGGTTCAAACAAATATTTCTCTATATATCATTCTCTTTGGGTCATTCGGATCCGATGGGGGTTTCATTGGGTGGCCTTGGCCGTAGTAGTAGTTGCCCTCCTTGGGATCGTAAAGTAACAGACTTTGCGCTTCGTTGCGTCGGGGCCCGCGATCCATTTTATCAAGCTACTACCAGTTGTGTAAATCCCTCTAAAATCACCACAAAACAACCCAAAATAAGAAATAGAACTGAGATTGAATTAGTACCAAGCTGCACCGAGAACCGAAACACCGATTGAGATGGCGATCCCGATCGAATCAAAGGTGTAAGGTGAGATCTGAGTCAGCGCATGCGCCCACGTGCTCGCCGATTCTGCCATCGGATTGAACTGGAGGTAGGGTTTCTTGGTGATGAGATAGAATCTAGGGTTTTTTCTGTGAATAAAAGGGGAGAAAAAGGCGCATCTAAACTGTGGAGGGGAGAGAGAGGAGAGGGAGATCGAAGACTGAGAGTTTTTGGCGATAAGGGATTATGGGAAGTTTTTAAAGGAGAACGTGGGTCGTGACCTCGTGGGAAAAGAGAACGTGGGTTGTAAAGAGGGAAGTTGGAGAGAGGGTATGGAGATGAGTTGGAGAGAGAGCGTGGGTTATTCATTTAATTTTTTTCATTGTTTATAATCTTTCATTGTTTATAATCTTAGGTTACTGTTCATATTAACTGTTTTGTTGTTCTCCTTTAGTAATAAAGAAGTAGATGAGAGAGTTTCGGAAAACATAATCCCACGTTTAACAAAAATTTGTTTTCAGAAATTTGTTTAAACTGATTTGTTTTCACAAAAAAATAATAAATAAATAAATAAAAACTCATCCTAGAAAATCTCTAACAGTCTAACCACTTTGATCTCTTTAAAATCTTACCCATCCCCTCTACCCCTTTTTTTCATGGTACTCTAAAAAAACGCAGAGAAGAGAGGGAACAACGGCTGAAACTTGAGGAGGGGTGGAGAAGGAGTTTGCTTGGATTTAGCTTTCGGAGTTTCTCTCGAATTTCAGCAAGCATATTTTTCCTCTTTAAACTTTTGTCTACATTACATTAGGAAAAAAATCCATGTTTTATTTCAGTACATACCAATTATATGTTACTCCTTTGCTCATAACTTTGGTTATGATCTCTTAGATTTTTTTTATATAATAGATGATTGTGAAAATTCGTGATTGTGATTGTGAGTTGTGTCATCGTAGTTTCTCTCCAATGTGAGTATTTCTTCATATGTATGTTAGATATTCATGCTCCTGCATACTAGGTGAAGATTTATATAAGCAAGTCTTTATAGGGAGATATTGATGGGTCTTTTGAGAGGCTGGTTAGAATATTACATTGTTTGATTTTGTATCAACTATAGTGTTCTTTTCATTTGATCACAGTTCTGGAAATTTATTAATAACTATATTGTAAATTCTTTTTCCAATCAATATTTTGTTCTTTGAATGATCTATTTACCATTATCTTTCAAGAATTATTTATTTGACATCCAGATAACTTTACTAAATAATAATATCCCTTCAACAAGAAAAAAAATTCTTTTCTTTAATATGTTTTTTGTTTATAGAAATGCAGCTAGTAAATGAGTAAAATATTCAAATGGCTTTCTAGTTAAAATCAGCATAGTCATAATGTTCTTATTATTTATTTTCGGTGAAAATACCTTTTACAAATAAAATAAAAACTTATGTTTTTTTTATAGTCTTTAAACAACTTGATATCTCACCTTCGTTTGTTTTAACGTTTCCCTATTAACTTGTAACATCATTTTTTTCGTACTTTATAACTCAATTTAAGAATTAGTGGCTAGGGGGTTGGTCTATATTACGTAAGTTCATAAGAGTCATGGGTTCGAATCATGTGACCTTTTCTTTTTCCTTTTTTATTTATTTTTATTTATCCTTGTGGTTGCTAACTCTATAAACTCATTAACTCGAAGTCTAAACTTTTATATACCGTGTCTTAGCTGAATGAGGGTATGTTTCGATTCTTGATGATATGTTTGATCACCTAGAGACATTTAATAGGTTTGATTGTGCATGAAGACGACTTCCGTTAAAAACATGATTTATAAACGTGTTATCATAGCATGGCTATACTCTCGACATCTATATCTTGATGTGAGGAGTTTCTCTTGATTATTACTATATATTATAATAACACTGACTAGACGATGCACCTATCTTGATTGGACATGTTTTGGGTCATGATTATTTTTTATAAATTTACGGAAGTTGTTCCACAGAAATTATGTGGTTAGTGAACAATATTTCATGCACAACCACTTAAAAATAAATGGGAAAATGTGGGGTTTATAATGGGGAATTGGACGAAGAATATAATATGTATATAAGCGGGCTCATGCGCATTCCTGATATCCTGATTGATATATATAAATGCCAAAGGCCAATACTTGACTTGAAGCCGTGTTTCTGGGACGGTTTACGGGAAACCGATTTATATACATAACACTATTCTCCTTTAATTCAAATAACATATAAATTAAGAAATATGTGCTTATGTGTTTTGTGATAGATTTATTCGTCATATCTATAAGTAGTGTTTCTTTTTGTCACATTTAATTTAGATTTTATCTTCCTTTATACTTGCTACATACACTTACACATGTACAATTTCTTCATTTTACATGTTTATTGGGAGTTTTCTGACTCCCCTGGGGTTTGCGCATACCAGATTCGGGATCGTTCTTTCTTCGCAGGATCAAGAGTATTTCGAGGGGCAGGTTCATCGGCGGTGATCACCGTTCATTCCATCAGTTCTCCACTTCATTTGTCTTAGGGCTTGTTTGGATTGAGGGGAATGAGGGTGAAGGGAAGTTAGGGGAACCATTCACTTCCATTCACCTTGTTTGGGAACACTTAGGAGGTGAAGTTAATTCACCCTAGTTCCCCTTGGTTCACCCCCTAATAGTATAAAATTTGTTACCCCCCAAATTGGGGTGTAACCAAGGGGAAGGGAACTCCCTTCTCTTCTTTCAGTTTCCCTTAACTTCCCTTCACCCCCTTCAAATCCAAACAGGTCCTTAGATAGTTATTTGGTTGACACCTTTTTCTGAAATCACTTGTGGTTTTTTAGACTATAATGTATTTTTCCCTCTTTCCTACTTGGCTAGTTGCAGACTTGTAGTAGAACTCAGTCTTTTCGAAGATTTCTTTATCTATTTGTTTTCTTTGTTATCTTATTACATGTTCTATGGTGTAATTTTAACTTTATATCTGTATACAGAACGATCTAAAGACGTAAATGTGTATAATTAATTGTATTGCAGTTACATTCCAAGTTATTATATTTTGGAACTCGGGCTTTACATTCGCGCACAAGAACTAGTTATATGAAAATCACATGTATCTCAGACTGTAGCTTACCTCAGCAGATAAGGCTACGTATTCCTCCCTCTCAAATTTCTGTAATTTATTAATTAAAAAGATAAATCCAAAACCTACTGAATTCAGTGAGAAACCAAACAAAACCAAACCAACCAATGGCGGTCTCCACGTCGCCGCTTCACGCTTTCCCTCCGTCCATCTCCGTCCGCTGCAAGCAGCCCGCCGTTAGGGTTCCGTCTCGAGAGACGCGTGAGCTCCATGGATTTCTCCGTTTCGATCTCGGACGGAAACCTAACGGCAAATCGACGAGGCTGAACGCGGGGTTGACGGAGGTCGAGCCTGACCTCGAGGAGGATTACAGGGACCGGTGGCGGACTAACGGAATCAGCCCCGTGAGTCAATTTTGCAAATTAATCTAGTTTCTTTTCCATTATTATATTGAGAAGCTTCCTTTTTTTCACTTACTATTTTTGCTAATTGAATTTCAGGAGGATTTTATTTACGGGGAGTTTGATGGACACCATACTTACCACGAAGGCAGTGAAGGTAAAGTATTCGATCTTTTCTCTTCTTATTGTGTCTGCAAGTTTATACCTCAATTCTTCAATCGCTGTATTTTTGGGCCCAGATTTTGATATCTGAATACATCTGAATGTAAATTATAAAGTTACAAGAACCGAATTATGGTCTGTGCCTAGGGATGCAAAAAGTATACGGCGATTAACCCGTATATCTGTATCCTAGAGGCTACGAGCCTACGAACATCAGTGGCGGAGCTAGTGGAAGGATAATACAGGAATCGCCTTCTTCAATGAACTCATAAGCTATATGTTGACACCACTCGGAAAAAATCGTGGCTCCACCCATGGTGAACGTGGATATCAAATATCCATATCCAAACAGGATATCGTTTTAAATTTGTATAGGATAGTATACAGATATGGATATAGAAAATTATGTGAACCGGGATCTGAATATCCTGATTCTAATTGAACACACTGTGAAAGCTATTTTTACCTTAATTTAGTGGATCTAAAATCAATTTTCAAGACTTAGAGATCTTATTTTATGTTTGTAAGCATGTTGGTGACGTAATTTGAGGAAAAAAATTTATTCACTCAACTCTTATATCACATAGCTCGTATACTTTTGAGCTTTATTTGTTTTATTCACCCGAATTGAACTCTTATAGCATACATACTTATGAGTTTTATTTGTTCTCTAATAGATGGTATGCGTCGGAATTTATTTTACTTCGTTCCAATCCACATCCATATTCAATGTTTTTGAATATGCATACGAGTTTTTCCTTACCCGAACCATATCAGCATTTGTATATCCGCTACTGTTACTAATAAGCAAATATGGATATCGTAAGTGTGGCCTCATTTAGTTGTTAACTTATTGTATAGTTCAATTAGGGTGTCATGATCAGAATTTTCACTCAAACCAACTTAATGAAAAACATTATTGGAAATTCTTCACAATATGACACAATGATCTCTCTATGCCAAAGAAAGAAACATACTAATTTTCCTTTAATTTTCAGCAAGTGGGCTATAATAGGTTGACATGAAACGGTTTTGTTTTTTTGACACGATGTAGGTTGACATGAAAACTTACTTAAGAGGTTGTGCATATATTTATTTTTGAATGAAATTATGTTAATTGTCTATCTAAAGATTGGCATAGAATACTCGTTTTCGCATCTTAGTACGACAGTACGATAGTCTCACACGATGTGCCGTATCTGAGCAAACAAGTGTCCAACATACATGAATGTATCAAGCCTTAAAGAGAAGTCTCCTACGTACTATAAGTTTTCTTAAAAAGTAACACTACTTTCTCTAGTGAATGTGATGCATGCATGACATAATACACATTTGCGCGTAATAAAATAATGCTGTCAATGTTAGGAATATATTCCTAACAGTCAACAGACTCAACACCTTAATAATTGATGCTAAAATATAAATAGATTTTTAAAAACTATTGCCAAGTTTTATACAAGTATATGCTAATTCGTTAATTAATCAGAAGTTATACAAATAGATCTCCGATTGGTGCACAGCGAATTTTACACAAAAAGCAAAAGGACACGAATTTTTGACAAAAAGAATTAGCTAAATAACAGTGAGTAGCACCGCGAATTTTACACATAAAGGAAAAAAGACAGAACAAGGACTTAACCATGAAGAAGGTGTTGGCGCACGCCATCCACAACCAACACCAAGCGTTGCACACCGAGCGGAGACCTTTTTATAAAACGATCGGTGTCGGGTTTTGGATGGCGTGCGCCAACACCTTCTCCATGGTTAAGTCCATGTTCTGTCTTTTTCCTTTATGTGTAAAATTCTTGGCGCTACTCACTCTTATTTAGCTAACTATCGAGGGATACTAGATCTTAGCTTTGGAGCTGAATTGCCAAAAATTCCCATTTCTTTTTGGAATTAAAGCTGAATCTGGGACTTCCACAGCAAACCCACTGTTTTGCTACCAAGCTTTGGTGGTCTACCCATTTCTGTAGGAGCTGGGTCTATTTTCTGATGACATTGCCAAAGCTTTTACATTTTTTTTATTTGTCTCTGGACCTTGTGCAGATGCTCTGACATTCCGTTAAAAATTTCATACTTCTTGTAAGCTATATAATAAATCTTAATTCATATCTTTTTTTATTTTTTTGAAGTCTTGTTACTTCACAGGGAGGAAACGAATTCCTCTTCCTTCCATTATTTCTTCTTCTTTTCTTCTTTTTATGTTATTAATTTATTGCTAGTCAAGAAAATAGGCAGCTTTAAAGCACGGCTGCAGAAATCCGGATATAACTCCAAACTATTTACATGAACATCAGTAAAAGAGAATCTTTTGTTATAGTTATTGTGCAAAAGTTTCTCCATGCCTTTGTAGATAGACAGATAAATAGTAGATTTTAAGGGGCAATTGGTTAATATTCCTATGGTGTCCAAAAGAAAGAGGGAGAGTCACATACTCCCTTGATAAGCCTCGAGATGTATATGTTTCTCTTGCCATCAAAACCCTTTAGGAGAAAATGGGATCATCCAACAAAGAGAACCCTGCTAGAATAATCCCTACTAAATTACTAATTAATCTTTACCTGAAGGGATTATATTTTGGGCTTTTTATTTCTAGCCCCAAATGTTTACTCATCTTTATCTATAAACCCAATCACTATTTGTTGTATCCATAAACCCAAATATCTTTTTGTATTTATCTTTAAGCCCAACTTACAAAATATAATACTTGTATGTGTGGGCCCCCCAAAATCTTTAAGTTGGGCTTAAAGATAAATACAAAAAGATATTTGGGTTTATGGATACAACAAATAGTGATTGGGTTTAAAGGTAAAGATGAGTAAACATTTGGGGCTAGAAATAAAAAGCCCTTATATGAAGTGTTTCTACTTTCTACATTGATTATATTTTTTTGAGGTAAACATGCTTTTCGTGATGAATGAAGTATCTCTATTCACTAATATGTCCAAAAATCTTTTTCCTCCCTTCTTTTTTGATGTCCATATACACCTAATGGCTTAGTTGCTTCATAGTTAAAGGGCCATTCTGGGAAACTGTTGCTAAGGAGTATCAAGCTGCAGAACCCCCAACTGGTTTCCAAGGTATCTCATATTATTGCCTCATCCCTCAATCAATTCCCTTCCGAATACATAATATTGGGGCTAATTACATTTACACTCAAAATTGGAATTTTGTTTCAGGGCTTATTTCTTGGTTGTTTCTTCCAGCAGTAGCTGCAGGTCTGGCTTACAATGTACCGGTATAAAATGCTTTTTTTCTTTTGGTAATTTGTAAAGCTTTAGTGTGCATGCTGCACCCTGCCTATGAACCAATCAGAGGCATGAAATTCATTTTTGTACTGCAGATAGTGAAAGTCATAATATGGGCTAATTAGTTTATTTGATGAAGAATATGACACATGGAAGCAAGTGAAGATTGCCTGAAGATAAATATAATTATATCTCAACAATATAGGCAACCGTACAATAGGAAGATAGTATATAATTTTCCTTCCTTCTGGAGCAAGTTCCTTTTCATCTATTCCACTGATTTAAAAAAAAATCATTTTGTCTTTAATGGAAACCCTCCATACTTCCTAAAGACTACAATAGCATAGAATTTATCGTGTGGAAAGGTGTACAGTATGTTAGTGTTTGGTTGCAAGAAGAATTAAGAGAAATGAGTAAGTTATGCAAAGAATTAACCTTGTTTAGTGTCTCATTTTCTCTTATAGTCCTGCTGATATTATGAAGAGAGAGTTGTATTTCTCTCACACTAATTTGTTCCCTTAATCCCTTTCTGTCACCTATCTATAACAAATAATGGTATTGGTATTCTAGTTTCATTTCAACGCTGAAATAAGTAACAATAACGTCAATATAAAAGTCATTTTCCTTTTTATAGTTCTTCGCTGTATTTTCCTTCACCTTATGATGTTTACGTGTAAATTTTCTATCTTTCTGTAAATTATTGTATTTTCTACATTTAATAATTAATAATTCTTCATATTCATATGACATTTCCTAACATCAGTGGTATCCTATAAGGCTATACCTTTCAGCATCAAAAATTAATTTCTTACATTTGGTCAGTCAGAGTCTCGTGTTTCTATTTATCGCATATTTTTCCTATGTAAATTCACTACAAAATTGTGCATTGCTTCTTCAGAAAGAATCAAAAGCATATTCGAGCTTATTAATCCATGCATTTGAACATGCTCCTTGTTTGCTTCCTTTCTGTATTTATTGAAATTTCACTGTACTCCAATGCTAGAATTTGTACCCAATGTTTATATGTATTTAAAAAAAAAAGAGGGCATATTTGTCCTAGGCTCAACACTAATATGGAGTGGTTCTGTCTTTAAAATGATTGCTCAATTATTGAGCTTCTTATCAATTACAGGAATGCTAATTAGCTGAGTCAATTATACCCTATGGAGAAAATCAGCTACCAAGGATACTTGAGATATAAATTGCAAATTAGGACACCTACCTTATTTATTGGTCAAGGAAATTAAAATCAAACAGCTCTAAGCAATGAGCATCCTTCTAATGCAAGTATCGATATAAAGAAAACACACTGAGGTTTCTATATAAAAAATCAAATATATCTGCACGGAAAAATAATGTTAATAAATCTCGTACTATTGATGTTTATCGCTTATCCAATGTGTTATCCTTGTAGGGTGAGTATTTATATATCGGAGCAGCTGTTTTTGTTGTCATCTTCTGTGGTATCGAGATGGGAAAGCCTGATAAGGCTCATAATTTTGAGCCTGAAATTTACAATATGGAAAGATGAGCTCGCGATAAGTTGATAGCTGATTACAACACTATGGACATCTGGGATTTCAATGAGAAGTATGGTGAGCTGTGGGACTTCACAGTAAAAAACGAAGAAATTATAAAAGGACTTCAATGATGTTGTGCTCATATTTAGTACTTCAGAGCACATATAAATTTGTCCTGGTTTTATGAATTGGTTGACTTGGCAGTTTTCTGTACATTTTTTTGTAAAGTTTCATTTATTAAGGTTTGCATATAAATTGTTCTCATGCTATTGTTTATACTAATTAAATTAACTCTGCTAGCAGGAAAAATACTTAACAAAACTAATTTGATATGGTTGCTGCGAGTAATTGATTGATCTTACTTACATCACCGATTTATGATCGATATTCTTTTATCAATAGAAGGATTTTCTGCTGCAAAGCATATTTAATCTTTCCAGCGCACACAGCCATTTTTTTTACATCAATGAATTCATCTGCTCAGAAGTTTTTTTTTTTTTTGTGATTATTGCGAATGTAGGACTGTCTTTAAGTTTTGCAAACAGTTTTGCTAAATGAGACGTCATCTCATATCCAGTGTACCACGCGTTATCCTCAAGCTACCAGAGTGCTTAAGGATATTTGTTATGCATATTCTTGTTGATGTGACGCGAGTAGTGTTTATCAACTGTGTGAATTATCCTATTAATTCAGTATGTGATGTAAATAGAAAGCTAAAGCATATGCATACATTTCGCTAGCTTATTCAAATAAGACAAAATGACATTGAGCATGAGTGTAATTCTTCTCCTTTTTTATGTAAATAGAAAGCTTTTATCGTGATGCTATAAATCAACAAATGGCAAGGTCCAAGACAAGGCAAAGGCCATGATAATATAGTAAGTTGAGAGAGAACATATTTATGTAAAGTGAGTATTATTATATGATGCATCCATTTTCTATTCTAAGTTTTTATTTTGGACTAGCTCAGTCCACAAGAGTCCAAATGAGCCTTTTTGATTGAACCCCCATCAAGTTAGCTCCACAATCAGTTTTCAGAGTCCAATCTGTAGCCAACTTGTCAAGTTAAATCTATCAATAGTCATATACATGCCATTGTCAAGTTTCAGGTTTTAATGTCTATCCATCTTTTCATGAATTTTCTGTATTTTAAATATGTTCCATCTAGCTAGTAAAAAAATTGAAATCACACGTATCCTTCTTTAATTAGAAAAATAAATATATCTTTACAAAAGAAATTTTGGTTTCTTACATATATATTTAACAATGTGAGCAACATTTTTAATTACAAATTCTATCCATTTGATAACTTTACTTTATAGATAAACAACCGGAATACGGGGACAAATTTTATCCATTCAAAATGTGATTGCCATGTCAAATGGTCCTGTATTAGTTTTTTGGGTGCAAAAAATATTCGTATTCTCAATACGAATATAATTACTGAATATCTACATCTGATAGGATAGAGTTACATATTCAAACATGTAGTGAAATTTCCAAATTCATATACAGATCTGTATATCAAATATTAGTATATATGTTAATCAACAATGATAGAAATATTAGTATATATGTTAATCAACAATGATAGTTGTTTTAATCCTTAGATTAATGAATTTGAAGTTAATTTTGATGATTAGGAGATCTATCTTAGCCTTTCAAACATAAAGAACGTATTAATGAGCTCTCTAGTATCATATAAGCTATATTTTTCTTTCTTATTTGGCTTTCTTATGTCCATTTTGTATCTGCGTGTATATCAAATCAAAGCCTTACCACGAGGATTTCCGCACAAAAAAAGGCCGAAACTTGATATTGTCTCTTCAAGAGAAATTTTATTCAATTCAAAAGATGACGGCGACCACCAAATTACAAAGTACTTAAAGGAAAAACCCTAAAAGAAGTTAAAAACAAAATTACTAAATTGTCCTGCATCATATATATTCCCACGTATATTTGTATCCGCATCCGGTTTTAACGGAATACATATTAGTTTTCCTTTCCAATACATATCCATATCCATGATTGCGACTACATATGAATACATACGATATACATCATGGCCAAGTTCGATCCATTTGCACCCCATCTTTTTCGATCAAAAGCGGTTTGCTTCAGATAGACCTGTCCATCCGGGCCGGCCCGACTCGGCCCGGCCCGAAAATCCGGGCTCGGGCCCGATCAGTTTATTTTCTTTTTTTTAATTCTATTTATAATTTAAATTATACAAAAAAAGACAAAAAATTTAATAAAAAATAATAATTTTATTAATCACTTAAAATGACATAAATTACAAATAAAAAATTATAAAAATAAATTCTTTATTAATAATTAATAAATTATTTATAAATTATAAGTATAAATTTATTTTGGAATTCATCGCATCACAATAGATAAGTACATCCCAACTAGATTGGCACCTACTCACTTATATCACTATCATTTGTAACTATTTCCAAAATAATTATTTACAAATTTTAAGCTAAGATATAAAAATTACAATTTGATGAATATTATTTATTCTTTATATCTATCTGCTAGTCCCAATTCTTCAAATTTATCTTCAATTCCAGCGATCCGATCGATGCATTGCGTTCACTTCTCGTACCTCCATCAATCTTGTAAGCACATCACCGCTTGTACAGTATACGGATCTAAGCATGTCCTGTGGTCGTCGATCAAATGTCCTGCTGTGCTGAAGGCGGATTCCGAAGCTACCGTTGAAACCTGCAATGTTAGTAAGTCACGAACCATGGTGGAAAGTATAGGATATGAAACTGATCCATATACTTTCCACCATTGCAAAATATCTAAAGCATTTCCTTGACATTTAACTAAAGAAGCAGATAAATATTCATCTATTTTAGAAACCTCCAATGATGACGATCCAAGTCTAGATCCACCAGTTAGCTCAGCTATCATTGCATACCTATCAAAACTTACACTTTTACCTAGGGATGAGCTCGAAGAAACCGAAGCTGTAGATTATTGTGTAGCTACACCATGTCTAGCTACATACTCATCATATAAGGTTTGAAAATAATTTCTAATAGCTAAATGATGAGTAGTAGCAGTAAGGGTGGTTCCATCATCTAAGTCTATAATCTGATTACCATACAATAATTGTAACAAACTTCAAAGGCCAATATCCTTCAAGCATGGATCAATAAGAACCCCCAAACAAATAATATGAGGAATATGCCTAAAGTACTTATTAAATTTGCTCTCCATTTGAAAAATCATAGGTCCAAAAGTATCATCCATATGATATTTCCCAAAAAAAATTTGAATATTTAAAATTTATAAAGCAGCTAAAGTAATGGTTGGATAATAACAGCCAGATAATAACATTGTAGCATCATAAAAAACTTGTAACATTTCATTTAAATTACATATAATTATCCATTCATCTTCAGTTATTCCATAAGTGTTACCAGAACTAGAACTAGAATACCAGAACTAGAACTAGAAGCATAATAATTTATAAAATCAGTTATAATGTCTTTATATTCTATTGCTACACTTAACATTGCATAGGTGGAATTCCACCTATGGTCAACATCTTTTGGAATTAGTCTGGGCTTTATATTTTTTTTACAAAATTATTTCCATCTTTTAAGTCTTTGTTCAGAAGCATTATGCATATAAGCAACTGTTCTAACCTTTTCTATCATGGGTTTAATTTCAGTAAATGCACTTTGAACAATTAAATTTAAAATATGACAGATACACCTAATATGAAAAAGATCACCATGACATGGCAATGACAGAGTTGATCTGATAATTTCAACAGCTACATTGTTATTACTTGCACTATCTAGTGAAAGAGAAAATATTCTTTCTGAAATTTCTAATTTCATAAGTTCTTCAATTATTAAATTTGTAACATTAATACCAGTATGTGACTCTTCTATTGCAATAAAAGAAACAACTCTTTTAAACATTTGCTAATTTTCATCAATCCAGTGTGTTGTAATACATAAATATCCAGTTTATGTCCAAATATCAGAAGTTAAAGAAAATTTACAGTTTAAATTTTTAAAATAAGAAATTATTTTTTCTTGTTCCTCCTAATAATATTTTAAAATATCACGTTGATAGGTTTGATGAGAATTTTTTTTAAATGCAGGATAAAAACCATCTCTAAACATATCTTCAAATTCATCATCTTCTACTAATTTAAAAGGAAGGTTTTTAAGAATGATAAACCTGATTACGCATTTCCTGGCTCTGGCAGCGTCATAGTTCCAACTACCGAGACTACCAGAAGAAGGGGATTGAGAAATCATAGATTGTCGGATATCACCTTGAGGAGTCTGGCCTTTGTTGTGTTTATCTAAATGGCGTTTGAGGTGGTTGGTGCCGCTCTTATGATGAGCTTGAAAAATCTTACCGCACAACGCACACTTAGCCTTCTGGGTGAGGATCCTACAGTGTTCATCCTTGGTGAAGTCGATCTTCTCGTAAAAATTCCACATATCGGATCTTGGCCTTTTAGGAGCTCTTGGTGCAGATTCGTCGCCACCAGATTCGGGATTAACATCGATAGGAGTAGACCCAGTAGAAGGACTCATTTCAAGATCGGGAGATAGGTTTTGCTCTTCATAATCAGATCCGGAAGCCATTTGATGAAAGGATTAGAAAATATAAGAGAGTATAAGAGTATAAGAGAGTATAAGAGTATAAGAGAGAAGTAGATGAGTTTTGGTGTGAAGAAAACAAACCGGACGCCGCTAAGGCAGCCCGTACCCGGGCCCGGAACCCGGTCAGGCCCGGATTTCCGGGCCAAGGCCGGGCCGTGGCCGGGCCGGGCCCGGGCTGACGGGCTTTTTGGACAGGCCTAGCTTCAGATAAAACACAAACCCAAAAGACAGGCCTAACAAGCATTAGGGGGTTTGCAAATATGTGCGCATATTACCCACACCACCAACTACGCTACGCTACAAAAACAACTGCGTCCTTCTTGATGATTTTCACCTTTAGGCAGCTAACTCCAGCCAACCCGTAATTACCCACCGCAGTAAAATTTCTAGAACCCCGTTACATAATCATTTGTCATCTTTTCTAACAATAGTAAGAATACTGTAAAAAAATTTCGTTCTATATAAGTAACATCACGTGAGCTAAAACACATCATGTCAGCGGTAACGTGTTGGAATTGATCTCAGTAAGGCACTGATGAAACAACAGATCCCTGATCCAGTAGCTGCTATACTCTGTAGTACTCCGTAGGTACTCGAAAGGAGAGCTCCTAGATACAT